TGTGTGTGTGTGTGTGTGTGTGTGTGTAAAATAGTATATCAGTCTGGCGAGTAAACAAAAAAATTTACTAGCCAATGGCGATTATATTGCCAAGGTGTGCGTAGAGGGTTGTACTTAAGACTGGTTTTGTGCTCCAGGGTCACATTTGTCTAAGAAAATCATTTAGCAAAGTCAAAACGGGACAGTTATCATCTTCAGTTCAGACAAGAACATGGTAAAACCAGTAAATTAATAAATCAATTTTCTTTCGATTTTAAGAGTAGAACCACATTGATTACATGCACATTATTCAATTAGGCTTTCAATGTAAAAAATAATAATAAAATGACTATTTACTATTATTTTAAGGTAAATGAGTGGTGATGGAGGGAAGGAAATCAAAATGAACAAATAAATTCTGCTTTTAATTCAAATGGATGTTTTATGTCCTTATATAGGCTATATATTTCCACCAAAAATGTTTTGTAAAAGTGCATAAATGAAAAAAGTGACAACAAATGTATATTTGTTAATATAATTAGTTTATGATTAATTTTAAAATGATATAAGAAAAACACTTTTTGTGTTACGCACACTACAGATTTTTTTTTTTAATGAAAATATTTGTGCGGACCACTAATATCTTTTACAGCCAGTTTTAAGAGAGCTCACACAGCTTCATATAAACCTACTGCCAAAAGCTGATTAAATCAAATGCTACATGAAATAGTTTATGCACACATACAGCACCACACACACTCTGACCATGAGTCATGTGCTCAGATAAACACACATGCAAACACACGGAAAATGGCAATTACTTCAAAAACAACAAACCACGCCTGTGCCCTTGCAGCGACACACACACACACACACAGTGCCCTCGGATGAGGTGTGGTGTAGCAGTAAGTAAACTGAGAATGTGATTATGTAAGGGTCTATAAATATCGTCCCACTATCTTGTTTACAATGACGAAGAATCTGTAAGAGGCAGGACTGAGAAGCTTACTGTACTCAAAACTACAGGAATACTTCACGTTAGATGCTTAAACATCACACGTGTTGGCATGAGATGGCAAATTAATATCCAATCTTTCAACTTCTCCCATGCTGAGCTAAATGCGGCCTAACATACCTGTTTTTATACATTTTCATAAAGTCAGTTATTATTTTGTTCTTGTAAATATATGTAAACACCTGCGAAATAGCTTATTCAGGACAGTACTAAATAAGAAATATCAAGATAATTAAAATCATTTTGCATGTTCTGCAAGGGGTATGTAAACTTATGAGCAGAACTGTATGTAATTAATACAAACAACAAAACTACTCTATTCTCATAATTTATTTATTTGTTACTTTTTTTAAGGACTACTTGTAAAAGCAATGTGTAGGATCTATGTCTCACAACAGACCCACCTACATGACCAACCCGTAACGGGGTTCCCTCAAAGACATCCCGGAAGCCCGCATCAGCAACGGAATCACCTCAGCTGTTAACCAGCAGAACGCAAGTAAACGAACAACTCTCTAATCTGCTGAACTGGTGAATTTAGATTCGTTGCTCTGTGAATTCTTAAGGTGAATTCGCATCCCTCGTGAAAACGAGGTAGAACTATGAAACTCAGAACTCCGTTAACATAATTTTTCTTCCTCTGAAACTGTATGTTTGTGTGTATGTGTGTTTTAGCTTAGTTTGATGTAATCTAGAATAGCCAATGAATTTCATGTTTCATTTATAAATAATCGAGTGTCTGGTGTCATATAATTTCAAGGTTAAAACTTTGCCAAGATCAACGTTACCTCTCTCTTAAGAGCTGACAAATTATCATAAGTGTGTTAACCGTGGCCAGGAAAACACATATTTAATTTGTTAAAATATACTGAGAATCACCGGCTCGCTGGACGACCCTTGATTTAAAAGTATAAACTATTTAAAGTCAAAGTCAGTTTGATCAGGTGGACCTCGAATTCTCAGATCGAGTTCTTTTAGAACCTGAGCTAGAAATAAACCTGAATGAATTAATAATGATTAATTCCCTTACAACTGAGTAAAAATTATTACAAATGTTTACTTAATTGAGAAACACTTGAATGCAATAGTCTATTGTTTCAATTGTTAACAATTTTACCAATTTAAATAAAGGAGTGAAGTATGTTTATATTAGTTTTTGCCAACATTGTATTATGCATAGTATGTATGTAATTCCTAAATACAATGACTTTAACAAACCCTGATTTAGTAACATGATTAGCATGTTACATTTCTGGATTAAAAATCCATATGGATATTTTGGGGGGGCATAAAATGGATGTCCTGAAAATGGTCTAGAAGAATAAAATACAAAAATACATGTACTGTATTTTTTTTTTGAATAAGTATATATTTTGTTGACATATTAGGAGTGGTGACTTCTAAAAGAGTTAATATCTGAATTAATAACTAGAGATTGACCGATATATCGATTTACCGATATTTTCCCCGATATTTAAGCATTTTACCATAATCGGATATCGGTTTTGTAATATCGGATTCACCGATAAACGCCGCCATCTTGTGGGTGTTTTGAGAATTGCACGCAGGATCGCAATTGCAGCGAGTCTGAGGGGAGACGAGACAACAACAACGGCATGGTGCAGGTACTTGATTTGTTGTAGTTAGTAAAATTTATTTAACATAACAGCCGTTTACGCACAAATTAGATGCATTACATAAATGCCTGATTTTTATGTTATGTAGTTTATGCAGCTTGGCTCGAAGAAATAGAGACGAACTCACGGAGTCATGTAAAATAATCCGTCAAGTCATGAGGCAATAATGATTAGTTCAAATAAAGTATCAAATGCAAGAAATCATTAGAGATCGACCGATATATCGATTTACCGATATTTTTCCCGATATTTAAGCATTTTACCATAATCGGATATCGGTTTTGTAATATCGGATTCACCGATAAACGCCGCCATCTTGTGGATGTTTTGAGAATTGCGCGCAGGATCACCATTGCAGCGCATCTGAGGGGAAACAAGACGACAACAACGGCGTTCACGGGCACTTGATTTACTGTAGTTAGTCAACTTTATTTAACATAACAGCCATTTATGCACAAATTAGATGCATTACATAAATGCCTGATTTTTATGTTATGTAGTTTATGCAGCTTGGCTCGAAGAAATAGAGACGAACTCACGGAGTCATGTAAAATAATCCGTCAAGTCCTGTCCCAATAAAGACGTAACTTTGCCTGAATTAAATAATATGCAGCCATGAATGAGCGCATGTTGGAAATGAAAGTGCTGAATTTAATTCACTCTCTGTTGTATATTTGTTCATCATTAGTCTCGTGAAGCCGCTTTCATATTGCTGTTCACTCACCGGGTTGATGCGGTTGATGCTCAGGAAATGCTCCTCCTGAGCTTTTGTATTTTCAACACAAAAAAAAAAAAGATGACTGAAAAGAGGAAAAACCAAAGTGAAGTATGTTCTTACTTCACTCAGTCATTTATTTACTTTATTACAGTAAATAAATATCGGTTCTGCATATCGTTATCGGGCACATAAACATGCAAATAATTGGTATCGGTAATAAAAATATCAATATCGGTCGATCACTATTAATAACTCATTATATTTGTTAAAAAATGTCTCATGTATTCAGCATGTGAGGAAAACGTTATTCTAAAAGTGATATTACAGTAAAAAGTTATAATTAAAATGTTTCTTGAAAGTGGCTGAAAAGTTTTTCAAATCAACATGAATACATAGTACATCCACAGGTATTATATTAACACTTAAAAATACATGAATCCACCTTTGAATGTAGTCCCACCTCTAAAAGATGACAATTTTACAGCTTACGTATGTTTTTGTGCCACCTCTGAAACAACTTTACTCTTGGCTGAACCTCAACAAGCTCATCCTCTGTCATGCAGAAACCGCTTTATTGTTCCAGTCGATTCCTGTTGGATAAAATCTAAATTAACCAGTGCTGTCCTCAATCTAGAGACAGAAGCCATAAAAAGGTGGAGAAACCAGCACATTTCTTTGGCTGTACATTGATGTTTCTGTG